TAGGAAATTGTCACTGATTTTTAGTGGGTTTTGAAGGGTTTGGGCGTTCTTCCCAGTTCGGCTTCCAGACGCTCCAAGGCGGCCCAAGAGGCCCGAAAGATCGCCTCAAGACGAGCCCAGAGGCCCCCAAGAGACCACCGAGACAGCCCAAGAGGGCCCCAAGACGGCCCAGGAAGCTTCCAAGACGGCCCACAAGAGCTCCCAGAACACTCCAAGAGGAGCCCCAGATGGGGAACACGAACTGACATTTCGAGCCCTCGCCCACCAGAAGCTCCCAAGAGGCCCCCAGGAGTCCGCAAGAGGCCTCGAGAGGCCCCCAGGAAGCTCCAAGAGGCCTCCAAAAGGCGCCGAAAGGGCCCCGCAAGGCTTCCAGACGCTGGTGATAATGACAATGATGATTATGCAGGGCGGCCTCAGGCCCACAACCTAAATCCCCAATACTGCTCACGCGGCATGCAAGACGCTGCGGAGATATCCTCGAGTTCGGCGGGGGAGCTTCGGAGACGACGGTGACGAAAATGATGACGATGATGACGACTATTATGAAGTTGACGACGACGATGATGATGATGATGATGATGATGATGATGATGATGATGATGATGATGATGATGATGATGATGATGATGATGATGATGATGATGATGATGATGATGATGATGTGATGAGGAATAATATTATGATGATGATGTTGACAGTGGGAATGATGATGATGATGCTGCTGATGATGATGATGATGTTGATGATGGTGATCGTAATGTGAGTGATGGTGATGATGATGATGGTGGTGATGCTGACGATCATGATGACGATGACGGTGATGCCGTTGAGGATGGTGATGCTGACGATCAGTATGATGATGTTGCTGATGGTCAGGATGATAACGCCGATGCTGATAATAATGGTGGCGATGCTGTTTATGGTGCTCGTGATGCAGGAGTGGGCGGATGATGATGATGATGACGGTAACGATGACGACGATCACGACGACGACGACGATAATGATGACGATGGCGATGATGAGGATGATTATGTTGATAATTCAGGTGACGATATTGACGATGATGACGACGATGGCGATGATGACGATGGTGATGACGATTTTGCTGCTGATGGTGGTGATGGTGACGATTGTGATGATGGTGATGGTCATGGTGATGATGACGATGCCGCTGACGATGACGCCGGATATGATGGTGATGAGGATGGCGATGATGACGATGACGATTATCCTAGCTAGAACTTGAGCGCGCGCGCGCGATGGTCTAGTATATATATATGTATGCGTATAGATTTATATCGGTGTGTGTGTGTGCGTTCGGCTGTCCCCTTCGCAGCACCCTGAGCACTACCCGATGGCCGAAGGGAAGCTCAGGCCCCGCCCAAGGGCCCACGGGGTCACGCCATCAGCTCTGAGGCGTGCAAGCACGGCCAACCAATGCTAAGCATGGCCAACCAATGCCAAGCAATGCAAGCACGACTAGCACTTGCCTACCACTAGAAACCATTAGCCATCAACGCTAAGCAGTGTCAGGCATGACCAAGCAATGCCCACCCATGCGAAGCACGACCACTCACCGTCAAACAATGGCAAGTCTGAAGCCTACGCATGTAAATATATATACACACGGCCACGCATGTTCGCACATACACACATGGACTATTATCGGAGGTCCCCATTGCAGTACCCTGAACACGACCCGAAGGCCGAAGGGAAGGTAAGGGCTCTTTCAAAGGCTCATGGGGTCGCAGTCATCAGCCCTGGGGGTGTCTCAACGGCAAGCAACGCCAAACAATTTCAAGCAATGCCAAGCATCAATGCAGGCACAACCAATCGCTGCCAACCAATACAAAGCATGAACCATCAGCGCCAAGCAGTGCCATGCACGACCAAGCAACGCCAAGCGTTGCCAAGCACGACTACTCGTCGCCAAACAATGTTATGCGCGATCAACCAATCCCACACAATGGAACGCATGATCACTCAATGCCGAGCAAGACCGACCAACGTCAATCACGACCGATGCCAAGCACGATCGCCCAATGCCAAGCACGAGATATCAATGCCAGTCCCCGACGAACACGCCCGATCAATGCCACGCACGGCAAAGCAATGCCAAGCGCGACCAACCAATACCAGGCAATGCCAGGCACGGGCCGCCTGTGGATCACCACCTGGGTGGATGGCCCACCAATGGAATTGTCTAGGGGGCCTGGTCCACGTACAAACACACACACACACACACACCCTCTCTCATACACACAAACGCACACACACACACACGCACACACACACACCAGCACCACACCACCACCGCCACCACCACCAAAACCACCATCACCACCACCACCACCACCACCACCACCACCACCACCACCACCACCACCACCACACACTCACGCACACACACAATGCCTGAGTGGAGGGTCTACAATTGGGCGTCCTTGGAGTGGACGGCAATGGGCCAACCAGACAGTGGAGGGACCAACAATGGGCAACCCTTGGGGTGGACGGACACCGTCAGTGGACCACTCCTGGGTGGCTGGCTTACCAATGGAGTTCCCCTGGGGTGACTGGCCCACCAGCGGACTTCCCCCCACCCAACAAGAAAAAACGTGCGCGGCGCTAAGGCGAAAATCAGATGTTGGAGAGAATGTGCGCGGCGCTACAGCGAGAGGCCGAAATTGAAAAAATGTAGCTCCCCAGACCGCCACCCCAGAATCCCCCGCCCTCGTTCCTTGAGCATGCTCGCCCCCTCCAGCGTTCACGGCAGACATGGTCCCAGGTTGTTTGTCCAAGCAACCTCCCCGAGTTTGGCTCAGATTTCTTCATGGGCAGTTCTCTTCGTCAGATGTTCGGCTGTAGACGGCGAGTGTGCCTTTCTACATTGCCGCGCCGTTTGAAGTTTGGACGCCCGAAGTGGGTACGGAAAGAATGGGTACAATGCCCAACGACAAACGTTGTCCCAAACCAACAGCGGCCGCTGTTGGGCAGGCGGCCTCCTGTCTCAAATGGACACATGCCGCGGAGACACCGACAGCGAGTCCTGTTCAGAATGAACAGGGATTGCTGTTGGGCATTGCACCCATTCTTTCCGTACCCACTTCGGGCGTCCAAAGTTTGTTCCGACGCGCGGCCTCCCATCTTGAGGAGGGTGCCGCGGGCACCAGGGCAGACGCCGCCTAGAGGGCGCGGCGGGCTCGGCTCGCCGTAGGCTTGCCGCGGTGCCGGCGCCGTCTATCTGGGCTGCGGGGCGCAGGGGGCCTGCCGTGGGTTAGCCGCGGTGTCGGCGCAGTCCTTCCGGGCGCGCTCAAAACAAACGGCGCGGCGGCAGATCTCGGGAGCGGCAAAGAGGGGGCTGATGACTGGGTGGGGGGGGGATATCATGGCGTGGGCCATGATATTTCCTTAGATGTCATGGCGCCTCTTCTTATTTCATTACGTTCCTGCCCCCCCGCCCTGGGCCGCGCACGTGCCGCCAGCCATGATTTGCGCCCCCCCTCTTGGACACCCCCCTCTTGACCGCTCCCCACTTCTGGGCGCGTTCAAAACAAACGGCGCGGCGACAGATCCCTTATAAGCAAGATCTCTCACAGCCGAGCATCTGATGAAGAAGCCTCCGCCTGAAGAGCTGGGCCAGCGTTTCTTGACCGACTTGCGGAGCGGTGGCCCAGCTTCGTGAGCACGCTCGCCCCTCCAGCGTCAGCCGCAGAAGTAGGCCCAGGGTTGCCTCGAGACGCTCCCGCGAGGCTGGCCCAGTTTGCTGCTGTGCCCCGCTCAGGCTGCCTGCTGTGCAGCCTGCTGTGCCTGCTGTGCAGGCACAGCAGGCAGGTGCCTGTTGCGCAGGCCCTGCTGTGCTGTGGGTTTTACCACTTGCGGTGCCTGCTGTGCAGGCCCTCCCAGCCTCGGCCAGGAGGGCGTGCACGCCAGGGCTGGGGCCCTGGGTCGCCCCGGCCAGGGAGGAGGAGGAGGAGGAGGAGGAGGAGGAGCGAGGAGCGAGGAGCGAGGAGGGGAAAGACGGCGAGAGGAGGCGGAGATTGCCGAGAATGTTCGTTGCACGTGGTCTGTTTCGTGCGGCCCCGCTTCCAGCCACGCGCAGATGGGTGTCAGGGGGGGGTAGAAGGGTACCCATACCTCTACCTTTCCCTCGTGCTTCTTTTTGTTGGGCCTCCTGGGAGGCCCTCGTCGCCACCGTCGGATTCGCCTCGACAGCTGGGTCAGAACGCACCCCAGGAGAGGTCCGGGGAGTAGCGGTATCAGTGCCTTTTGGTTTCCCTGGAGGGGGCAAAGCTTCCGATGTTGTTTGACAGCCATGGTCAAGGGCCCAGGTAGAGTGGGCAAAAAAGTGGAGAGGTCGACTGTGACCCCATCCCTGGTGGGATGGAGTGCCTCCGCCAATTCGCGCTCTTGTGCGGCTCCGCGTGGGGCTCGCACTTCTTGCCAAGCTTGGCAAGCCGCTCACCTAAGGGGGAAGTCTTCTGAGAAGCAGGGTGCTTCTTAGAGGTCGCGGGCCCTCCCTGCAGATGTACGGCTGGCGCCCTCTCAGAGGTAGGCTCCTTCTAAGACGCCTTCCCTCCTCCCCCTAGCCCCGTGTGCGCGCTGCCAACGCTGGTCCTGGCCCACCGCGCTTCGGCGCGACACGCTATAACCACTTCCCCACTCCCAGGCGTCAGAACGTCTCGAGTTTTTCTGGAGCCTGACGCCACGTGGAGCAGAGCGACACGCCATCCGCCTGCAGGGCACAGCGCGTCGCCGGGGCCGCCGCCGCCGCGACACGCGAGGCACGAGGCACTAGCTCCCGACCGTGCCCGTCAAGCCGTCAAGGGAGGAAAAGCCACCCAGACTTAGTTAGATATCTGGCGTCTACTAAACGGCCCTGGGCGTTTACGAAAGACCCCTGCTCTGTTCGATGCCTTTTGTGGGTGTGTTTACTAAACGGCTCCGCGTGTCGGGGTGATCATTTTCGGGGTGGATTCTCTGCCTTCTACTCTGCGGAGAGGTGACCCCGCGGAGCTCGCGCGGCGAGCCGCGGACCCCGACGCTGCGCTCCATGCGCTCCATGGACGAGCACGCCCCGGTGACCTCCTCAAGCGCGGCCGCCGTGTCCAGGGAGAGCAGCGCCGCCGCGTCGGAGCGGCCCCGGAGGCCGAAGCGCTGGGAGATGAGGCAGGAGTAGGCTTGCGCAGGGGGAGAGCCAGGGGAGTCACCAGCCTCGAACTTGTCCCTGTCCCTAAGACTGACACGCCGAGAGGCGATGGCAGTCTTTAGGGATGCGCCCTCAAAAACCGAGGGAACCCCTAAGACTGGCATCGTGATAGGGGCGATGCCCAGCATAGGGATGGGGATATGCTCCAGGCTGGTAAGGGAGGGGATCCGCTCGGGGGCCGGATGCGTCGACCCCCCGTCGCCCATGCGTCTCCCGCAGGGGCCCGGTGACCTAGCCCGCCCCGGGCACGTGCGGATGTGCGTTCTGGGGCCGATTGCCGACCCGTGGGCGATGCGTTGTCGACTCCAGCTCGGAGCTGCGCTCCCCCTCCATGAGGTGCCCCCCCCTCCCCCGCCGCCCCTGACGTTCCCCCTCACCTGCCCCGCCGGCCCAGGCATGTAGAGTAGCGCCCTTCCCCTGGAGAGGGCACGGCGCACAGGCCGCCAGGGTGGGGCCGGAGCCGGTGGGGTCGAGGGTTGGCCCGTCCATCGGCGGCGCGTCTGCGATGCGGCGCGATCCCACTTCGCCCATGCGTCGGCGATGCGGCGCGATCCCACGACCCACCCCCCAGCATCGGACGGCACGACTTCTTCGGCCCGCGGGGCCCAGGGGGGTCTCGGCCTTTCCCTAGGGGCAGGGGTTCCCAGAGCTCCGGCCGTGGCACTCGGGCTGCAGGGGTCAAGCAGTGGCGAAGCTAGGGGGCCACGTGTGAACCCTACCCTCCTCCTCGTCCTCCTCCTCCTCCTCCTCCCTCCTCCTCCTCCTCCTCCTCCCCAGAGGCGGGAGGCAGGGGCAGAAGTTTTGGGTTGCGAAGGCATCGATCCGCTGGCCTCCTCAGGCCTCGGGAGGCCGCGCTGGCCTCCCAGGCTTAGCTGCCCTGGTACGCCCGTGCTGAAACGCAGCACGTGCCGTGTTCAACACGTCCGTGTCAATACGTTGCGGGGTGGCCCAGCGTGTTGGCCCACGTTCTGGCGAACGCATCGCGCCAGACCTGCGTCTTCCGTCTCCGTGTGGAGCTCCGTGCCAGCACGCTACGTGCTGCGTGTTGCGTATCGGGGCAGCTAAGCCCCGAGGCTCTCCTCCTCCTCCTCCTGCTGCTCCTCCTCCTCCTCCCCTCCTCCTCCTCCTCCCCTCCTCCTCCTCCCCTCCTCCTCCTTCTCCTCTTCCTCCTCCTCCTCCTCCTCCTCCTTCCCTCCTCCTCCTCAGAGCCGCAGACCTCGCCCCTCGAGCCTCGCCCACTCGGATCCACCCGGGCAGCCTGCAGGCCGCGGCGAGGCTCGAGCGCCGTGCACAGCGCGCGCGGTGTCTGTCACTGAGCAAAAAGTGTTCCGCGGCGTTTTCCGCACGCGTCAGCGCTCGCTGCAATGTTTGATCGTTCTCTGTCAGTCTCTCTCTCTCTCTCTCTCTCTCCTTCCCTCTCTGTTATATATCCTGTTTGTTTTTATCTCTCTCTCTATATATATATCGACTCTCTCTCTCCCTCTTTCTCTTTCGGCTCTCGGCTTTGTTTGTTCTTCCTCTCTCTCTGTTTCTCTCGGCTCCCTCTCTCTCTCGCTCTCTCTCTCTCTTTATCTCTCTCTCTCTCTGTCTCTTTCTCTCTCTCTCTCTCTCCCTCCCTATACATCTATATATATATATATATATATATTATGTTGTTCCGCACTCTCCCCCTCTCTCTCTCTCGTCTCTCTCCTTCTTCATCTCTTCCGCCCAATCCGTGCGTGTAGACGAATGGTAGCCAGCGTGGGCGCCAAACAGTGGCGTCTTGCAGTCTACGCGGTGCAGCCCAGGTGGCGGATGCAATCGACAGTCAAAAACCCTAACAAGGACGCGCGACTTTGCTCAGGTACCCTTGCGTCCTTGCTCTTCCTTGCTCTTGCGTCCTTGAGATTTTCGTCGTCCGCCGCCCCAGAAATCCCAACTTCGGCTTCCAAGGGTCTTGCGTCCTTGCCGCGCGTCCTTATGGGTTTCTTTTGACTGTAGGGGGTGCAATCCATGTGGTGCAGTCTATGCGGTGCAAGCATGGCAAAGCAACGCGAAGCAACGTAACGCCATGCAAGGCAATGCGTCTGCAACGCGGCGACGGGCGGCGACGAGCTGGCTGGACCTCCACCGCGGCCCAGCGGCGAAGGCGGCGACGGGCTGCGACGGGCAGCCACAAGCTGGCCGGAGGGAGCGGCACCGGGACCAAGCTACCTTCGAATAACCAGCCTCGAACGTATCCCTATCCCTAAGATGGGCGAGCAAAAAGCGAGGACAATCTTAGGGATAGGCCCTCAGAAATTGAGGGGATCCTTAAGATCGGCATCGAGGTGAGGTGATGTCAAACACAGGGATAGGGATATGTTTCAAACTAGTAATCGAAGAGAAGTGAAAACACGCAAATAAGTGAAAGCATTGCTGTGGGAAGACGATTACCTTTCCACGGAGCGGCGAAGAGGTGCCTGGAGCACGGGCGGACGGAGGAGGCCATGACCGATCGATCCGCGGGGTCGGAGCAGCGCTGGAAGCACCTGATGGGCATTTCCGTGAGGCCACCGCACAGTAGGAGGCCATGACGGCAGAGTCCCTTTTTTCCCCCCTCCTTCTCCCCCCCCTTTTTTCGTCGACGCACCGACGCATAGTCCTGACGAGTGTGCGTCTTGAACTCACGACGTCGATTTGTCGCCCGCCGCTCGCTCGCACGACGCACGTTTTTTGTTCGGCGTGCGCGGGGGCCGGTCAATCCTTAGTCATTGCTCTGTTGCCGATGCCCCGTCTGGGCGCCTGGCTTCTCTGTCTGTCAGTATCTCTCTTTATCTGTCTCGCTCTCTCTCTCTCTCTCTATCTCTCTTTCTCTCCCTCACCTTGAAGGAAAAACGGCAAGAACGCGGATATCGATACCGTCAAAGGCCTGATGGGGCGCCAGTCGTAGAGCACCACCCACAGAGCACCAGGGTGCGCGCTCGGAACGCGCAACCATCAAGTGCATCATACGGTGCCAACCGCAGAGTACCACCAATAGGGCACGAGGCTAATCCCGTGGAGGTCGCAAATGTTTCAGGCATCATCTTTTGCACCAGCCACGGCGCACCGCCCACAGAGCTGCGGGGCAGGGGTGCGGAAGTTGCAGCCATCGAAGGCATCACAGGGCACCCGCCATAGGGCACCCTTTCACGCAGCATCGGCGCAAGAACACCAACATCGCGACCAAGACGTCCCCTGGCTTTCCAAATTGTTTGGGGGCTTGGACTTTGTGCAACATCGCAGGTTCCCGCTTCATTGGTACACACAGTCAGGTGGATTCACATCGATGGCATTCCACAGATTGCACGTCGTACGCAGCACCACGCATGTTGTCCCACAATGCTTGCGCTACATACTTCATCCTCATCATCAAGAGATTGCGCCACGTAGGTTGCACTACATACTTTGCGCAACGTAATGATGCTGCAGATCGGCAGCTAGCTGACATATTTGTTGGGGCCAGCCCTGGCTAACATATCAGAGTGTTGGACTGTGTTGCCACGTTTGCCAGAAATCGTCGGTTATGCTATTTCAGTTTTGAGCGCCCTGCCACACTATCTGTGAAATGTGCTCTTCGCCAGCTGCTTGCATTCTGGGGGGGTGCCGCTGACGATATGCTGGCTGGGCCAAGGCTCATGCAGCAATGAATGTTGATATGTGTCAAGGTCGTTAACGATTGTGACGCCGACTCCGTGATTATCACATCACCATAAGATGAACTGTTGTAATGTTTCTCTGCTTTCCTTGTCCCCGGTTCAATCTTCTCTATCGCAGCACCCGGGTGATTCGGTATGTTGCTTGATTGTTCAAGGCGCGCGGCACGGAGCCGTGTTTAGGGTTGATATTCACGATTCGAATCCTATGCCTTGTCCAGTATGATCGCTCTTTGTTGCGCGCTTGTTTCGTAGTCTTTCGTGTTGGTTGTTTCCTTAGTGTGTGATGCTCTGGGCCTCGGTGCGTTGGCTTACCGTCAGAGCGTGTCCTATATGTGTTTTCTTGCGGTCGTTGTACCGCTCTCCTCCCTGCCGATGTCTTCCATGCGTATTATCACATATGTCGTACTAGCGATGTTGTGATATCCTCATGTTGGAGCATATTTGAATGCCCAAAGGTCGCCATGAGGCGTCAGGGCTGCAATGCGATCTGTGAGAGCATACGGGTAAGGCTGCCGCGCGGCCTCCAGAGAATGCAACGATGGCCCCATTGTCTACATGTCCCGATCGGTCCCACAGTCCGACCAGCAGATGATGCTCCAGAGTGTCTCGCGTGTCTCAGGAACGCTGGCCAGCTCAGAGGTACAACACAACACGCGCTGTAAGCAACGCGGATCGGGGATTATGAGGCGGCGTTTCAAATCCTGCGCATTGGGTGCCGCAGCCCCTAGACCCTAGGAGGCGCTGGATGCGGATATGTCGGGCCCTCCTGGGGCCCAAAAATACCCCCATCCATGGCCCCCTGAGGCCCAGGGAGATCGGTTTCACAGGCGGTGGAAATTCGTAGATCCCTGCCTCGGGGAGGTTGTCGCCCCAACTCCTTGGCATCGCTCGGACGTGTGCATTTTTCCTTCGGCGAGGACCATCGAGGAGCACCCTTGATCATTTGGCGAAAAAAAAAAAAACACACGCACGAAACCAAAAAAAAACACAGTGAATGGACGTCCGAGCGATGGCCAGACTCAGTCTCGTGCCAGAGCGGCCAAGGTCGCGCCGCAGGACCGCGCAGACGTCACTCGACACTTCAATGCCCGAGGTCCCGGGCAAGGCTGGGACCAGGACCCATCGTTCCAGAGCGGTGCAATAGTTTTTTTCTGTTTGTATGGAGCGAGTTCGGCCCCTGGCTCCATCGCGCACACTCGCTGGCCCCAGGCGCACGCGGCGGACGCAGGCGCGAGCAGTCGCCGCGCCGCCGCTTGGCTCGCGCGCGCCGCGGCGCGCCGCAGGCGATGTGGGCAGGCCCGCGCGCCCCCGCGCGCGGCCGCTGCCCGCCGCGG